CGGTAAAGATACACCTGAACACTCACAAACCTGAGAGGCTGTACCTACAGGTATTTCTTTCCTTACTTTTTTTTCTGAAGATACAGAGCAATGCTTTATTATGAATGGTGACTTATCAAAAGGTACTATTGTGAATTGATGGTGTGTTTCAGTAGATCAGTTATCAGCACATCAGTGGGTGCCATCAGCTTACAGAAAGTACAGCAGCAGCTATGTGTAGCTTCCTCATTGCCAATCACGAGTGTCAGTAATACTATTTCAATTTTGACTTGCCAGGGAAAAAAACAAACCTTGTTTTCACAATTGGCATGCAGAAGAATTATCAATAGAACATCTACGTTATCACATTACACCTGTGGAAGCCACTCTTAACAGGTTTGGCAGCATTGCAAGACATCACACTTCCTGATTATAGCTGCTGTGTCAGTGTCCAGCATTTCCTATGTGCCTATGGCATCCCTGGTGTACTGCCTTCGCAGGTTTATTGCAGGATGCATGATTTGACCAGGGACTCAATTAAACATTTAATTTCAATCTATCAGGAAATATCCTTTTTGTCCCAATCAGTGTCCTATGCTGTTATGTCAGGATAAAGTAGTGAATCCTGGTCTCTCGATTCCCGCAGTGGCTCAATCCTGACTGCTGTAAATATGGCTTGCTTGGCTCTTGCCGTAGCCTCTCCCCAGCTCTCTCCAAGTTAACTTAGAAGAGGCCTGTGGTTGCTCTGTGCTCACAAGAGTGGCAATTTATGAGACTCTGCTAATGCAGTGGGATGTAGTGGTTTTAAAAATGAAAGGATGGATTTCAGGAGTGGAACAGAAAGCAGAGACCCAGCAGCAGCTCCTGGAAAGATGAATTAACAAAAGCTTTTCCTGATAACCAACAGGCATGTGAATCAGCAGCAGATCATCAGTGTACGCACAGCCTCTCTGTAACTGCAGTCCTCATGGAAAGACAGATCTGCTGAAGCACGTTCCAGACTATCACTCTTCTTTTGGAAAAGATTACCCACAACTCCTAGTTTTAAATGAGTTTGTTTTGGACTTCCAACTCAATGTGACATTTTAGGTTCATTCCACACTAATGCGAAGATTTTATCTCGTTTTCTCTGGTTTTGACCAACAATAATAGCAAAACTAAATTAAAGGCTCTGACATGTCAAAGAGGTGAACAAGGCCCTCTAATGATTAGCAACTTGCTGCTGGGCATCGTTACTGTATCTGCTGGGTTAGTGATTAATTAACTTCCGTTTGTCGTTTGCATTTTCTACAGCTTCAGGCTATTTCTATCCACAGCATCCATTTAACAATCCAGCTTAGCAATACATAATGTAAAATTCAGGGGTTTCAAGGAATTTCAGGAAATGCTGTAATTTAATGGAGATTAATGCAGGGACTGAACCAACCTTACAAGCTGGCTATTAAGAACAAAAAGTAATTATCTTAGCCTCCCCCAAACCAGGTTTAAGTAGTGTATGCACTGTTACAACCAGCGTTGTATTGGTAAGCTGTAGATTACTAGCTTCTGTGTGTTTGCTGTTGGCAGTTAGTAAAAGCGCTGTGATAAAAGTTCCCCGCCCGGAGCCCTACGTTCAAGGGGCCTGGTCTGCATGCAGGCCTCCAAAATGCTTCAGCAGCTATTTCAGCTCTGCACAGACCTGAGAGCAATACACTCCTCATGGCACTGTTTAGGATTGCACCCTCTTGTTTAAGATTATGGGAGGTTCATACCGACTCAGAGGAAGAAATCCCTTCCAACTGAAACAGAGTTAAGGAAGCAGAAAAAAATGGATCCCAGAGGTTCGCTGGGTTCGCTGCTCGGCTGAGTAAACTGCTCAGAGGGGACAGAAAATACTGTGTCATTTAATTTCCTTCTAAATAACTAAGCAGCTCTATCATGTGCTCTCTATTTTCTCAACCACTTCGAAATGACAAAATATCAGTCTATTTTATTCAGTTTGGTGGAAGGACTCCCTAGAAGCTTAACAGAGAATGACTGGGGTAAACTCTACTCCCTGAAGTCAGTGGGAGTTTTGGCTCTGAATTTGCTGAAGTCAGGATTTAGTCCTTGCTTAGACTTTTTTTTTCTCTTTGTAATATCCATTAGAGAGGGGGAAAAGAATCATCTTCCGTTCATTGCAGAAGAGTAGAATTCAGGCTGACTGCAGTTGTAAATATAAATATAAATACACCTGAGCACTTATCTTCAAAATAGTTCTTTTTCCCATTCCTGGTCCTGAGTATGAATCCAATCTGTATCATATTCTTATTCCAGTTTCAAAAAGGAAGATTGTCTACTTAAAATAACAGCTAAAAGTCCGCAAGCCAAGGACCAGCTAAATGTAATTGGTTAATAAGAAAAAGCAGAACTCTGAAAAAAGGTCTGATTATACTTCAACAGGCTTCAGGTATGCACTTGGGCAAAACAACCAAGTTTCCATTCAACAAGTGTCAGATGAAGTGTAACAAAGTTGGAAGCAGGGGAGGAATTACATCATTTAAACACCTGGTTTAGCTCACTTCAGTCTCCATTCAGTGCAGATGAATGTGTGTATAAGGATCAAACACAAACCCTTTCCCCCGGAAACCTCAAATCAAAGAGAGTATCTGCTAAATGAAAGGTGGTGATTCATGCGAAAGATAAATGTGAAGCTAAATGTAGCAAATTTCCCGCACCTTCAGTTAAATATACAACTGTGGAAAAGATAGCCTGGAGCTTAATTTTTTTCACATCAGTAAAACAGAGCTATGCTTTTTTAACATTAAAAAGTGATTAGCTCTTCAAGGATATGTAAAGGGTGCCCAAGGTATTTCCATTTTGTGCAGACTATGTGATTGCTTCAAAGACTTAAAAAGCTTTTAAACACATAGCATTCCTTGTTGTTTCCTGTAAACAAATAATAATAAAACCCACTTTGCAGGTATCAATGGAAGGCCTAAATGAAAGCTTCTGCATTTTTTCTGGAGGGACAGAATTAGCCATGGTGTAGTGTTACGTCAGGAACTAAGGTAGCTCCTGATTTTAGAAGACTTTAGTCAATATGGAATATAAACCAGCGGCAGGACTTTACAGACATTGCAAGGAACCCTCTTAAGTTTTGGTTCATGCTCCAATTCAACATTTAGGAAGAGAAAGATCTCTTGGATCTCCTCCTTCACAGGGAGCAGGAGGATACGGAGAAGGAAAAGGTATGACAAAAACACCATTCAAATTGTTCCAGGATTTGTGTGTGTGGTAAATGCACGTTGCACGTACAGTTCTAACAGTGATAAATCTATCATCAGACACATAAATACGTATTCTTAACAACAAGTAGTGAAGTGAAAATGCTGCATTACAGACTACCTACTTACCTTATAAAATATCAGCAAAAGATCATCCAGGTTTCCATGCAAATCTCCTACAGAAAATAAAACCATGACTTTTTAATTATTTTTTTTTTCTCATAGAGAAGGAAAAAAATTGAAATTATAAAACTGGAATTAGACCTAAGAAGTTTTTCCCCATGTTTTCCTTAGTAATTTGCCTTGTATTAAGATTAGCTTCATTTTAAGGTACGTGCTGAAGCTGCTTGTAAAATCTGGCAATTAAATACTTAAAAGAGTGTACAATTGTCTTGCATAAAGTTTTTGTCTTTCCAGCTGAATCTGAAGGCCAGACCAGTCACACACCAAAGATTCACTCAGGGAAATGGGAGTAAGATGAATAAACATATTGTGAACCTGAAAAACAGAAAATGTCCCTGAAAGACATTGAGAAATATGATAGACTTCTACACACTCACAGGTTTAAGTTTACTAAGTAGTCCACTATATACAGCACAACTGAACATTAGTCTGATTCAGGGCCAGGCTTTGATTACTATAGGCAAGATTTGATATGACTTAATTTCATGCTCACAGAACCAACCTTCTCACGTCTGTGACTCTCCACCACAAAGGCACACAATGGTTTCAAAACCTATCTTGTGATAATAGGCTTTCACCAGTCATGAGTAAGAAAAGAGAAGTGACATTTTTACCCTGTCTACATATTTTCTGTGCAACTTTTCACTAATTATGAGACTGCTGAAGTCACTCGAAGGAATCCTTCAGGCTATGATAAATTTTCATCATGTATGTGGATGCAAACATTTCAGGTGCATATTTAATCGACATTATTAATTTGAAATTGAAAGAAAATGAGGAGAGGGATAACTTATTTTAAGGAAATCAACATTTTGCATCAATTATGTCTAAAAATTGGGGTTTAATCTTCTGTAGAGGATCTTTCCAGTTACAAAAGCTACTACTTTTGTATGTGGCAGGAAAGGGACCCCTTTAGATGCTGCTTACAAAGTGCAAATGCAATACAAACGTGAGGAGGTACATTTTGCTTAGTAAGAATACGCTGTGTAGTGTTTGAGTATGAATCTGTGTTTCCTTGGTTTGGAGAGATGTTTTGTTAGTTTGGTTAACAAATGATTGTTTATATAAAACCTCATTTAAACAAACCCTTTCCTGGCAATCAAAGTAGGTGCATAACCACATCTTAAAAAACATTATTTGTTTTGTATGTGTCATAGTACCCTTCCTTATACTACTTTACTATTACACACAGCACACACTGCTAGCTGTCAAGAGTTAATGTCTCCATTACTGTTCTGTTTTGCAGCTACTGCGTTCTGTGGTGAGCCAAGATACTGCATCCCTTTATCTGTAATTTACAAAAGCGTTACAAAATAGACAGGCAATGAGCTCTTAGTTCTTTACCTTGTGACACATCACATCATTCTGTGAGACTAATTTGTTGGTTGCATAAAGACTGATCCATCCTCTTGGGTCCCTTTAGAAATGAGGGTTTATTATAATTTCAATTTATTCTAGATAGTCATGCTGTCAATGAAAGGTCATGTTTGCCAGCCCTATCAAGCCCTCATTAAAACCATTATGGAGTAAATTATGACGGTAAAGTCTTTTTCTCAGTAAGAGGAGAAAGAAGTGAGACTTGCAGCCGGTGATCAAAATACTCGGTGGCATTTTAGAGATGGAAGTGCAGGAATATTTAAGCTACACTGCAGTGTTAGCTGAATTAATTCTGACTCATTCAGAAATGTTTAATGAGAAAAGGAAATAGGAGGTGAGGGACTTTCTTAAAATATACTTAGTGTGACTCAGGAACATTTTGTTTGTTTATTCCAATTTACGCATTTGTGAAAGAAAAAAAAAAAAAAAGGAAGAAAAAAACCCCAGCATCGAGAACTGTCTTGTAATGGCAACATCTCGAAATGTCTGCATCGTTCTCTAACCGCTTAGAATATCAACCCGTAGCACAAAGTGGTTATCTTCTCTGGCACCTCACCACAAACAGTTATCTCCTTAGAGTAGGAAGTTGAAAGATGGGTGATATTTGGCATCTCCTTGAGAACCCTCCTAGTTTCACATAGTAGCTGCAGTACGTAGCGAGCATGAAGCAGCTGTGAGGAAAAAACGCAGGGAGAAAAGGAAGACTTATTAGAAGCAGCAATACGTCTGCCTGCTTTATTAGTATCAGACACATATTGCCAAGATTATTTATACTACAGACCTCCAGACACGATTACAGGCTGTATGGTTTAGTGTTGGGAATTAGGAGTGTTTGTAGCTTTGCACTTGCTTCCCAGAGAATGGATATAGAGCCCTTAACAAACTTGCTTTACATATATTCCCATTTTATTTCTAATGTACTCTTTCTACTCTTCCCATCTACAGAAAGGATAAGTGACTGAGTCATACAGCACTCAGAATCATTGCACAAGGTCATCTGTTCAAAGTAACTGGGGGAAAAAAGGATATAGTTCTAGCTGTGAGTAAAAAAACCCAAACAAACGACAAACCAACCAAAATAACCCTGAAGGACATAAATAAAATTTCAACAAACTGCAAAAATATTGAAAGGGAAACTCCAGCAAGGGTTGCCTTGGTAAGAGTTATCTTCCTGTTCACTGTGAAGATGATATGACAATGCAACATTTGAAGCTTCTGGTCTTCTCTGCTAGTGCTTTTTATGAAAATGTTGTCAGTCAGTGATTTTTAAGACTTTTAATTCAAACACAGCTCTGAGGAAGTCTGGTAGAGGAGGTAGATGAGCTACAGACTGACTTTCCAAGATTCATGTTTTTAAAGCAAATAAAAAAGGCCAATTACATATAATTGCACGTATTATGTGCGCTCGCAGCCCAGAAGGCCAACTGTATCCTGGGCTGCATCAAAAGAAGTGTGGCCAGCAGGTCGAGGGAGGCAATTTTCCCCCTCTACTCTGTCCTTGTGAGACCGCACCTGCAGTGCTGCGTCCAGCTCTGGGGCCCCCAGCACAAGAAAGACATGGACCTGCTCGAGTGGGTCCAGAGGAGGGCCACAGAGATGACCAGGGGGCTGGAGCACCTCCCCTGTGAGGACAGGCTGAGAGAGTTGGGGTTGTTCAGCCTGGAGAAGTGAAGGCTTCAGGAAGACCTTATAGTGGCCTTCCAGTGCTTAAAGGGGTCTTATAAGAAAGATGGGGACAATCTTTTTAGCAGGGTCTGTTGCGATAGGACAAGGGGTAATCATTTTAAACTAAAAGAGAGTGGATTTAGATTGGATATAAGGAAGAAATTTTTTACACTGAGGGTGGTGAGACACTGGCACAGGCTGCCCAGAGAGGCTGTAGAAGCCCCATCCCTAGAAACACTCAAGGTCAGGCTGGACGGGGCTCTGAGCTATCTGATCCGGCTAAAGGTGTCCCTGCTCACTGCAGGGGGCTTGGACTAGATGGCCTCTAAATGTCCCTTCCAGCCCAAACTGTTCTATGATTCTATGATATAATAATTTCCTTAATAAAATGCCAACCATAGTAAAAGAAGAGAGAGAGATGACAGCAAGGTGAAGTCTGAGTGGCCTTATTTACCCTATCCTTTTCATTTTGCTACTTTTAAGATCAGCCTCCACAGACAAATACAGAAACACACACCCCACCCCACCCCCATTATTTAGTAAATTAAAAAGCAAGATAGATCCTTATCCTTTATATACAGTGTATTTTTAGGCATAAATGACCACAAGTACAAACAAAGCTGTGCCATGGCATGCCTCCCTGCTCCACCCTAATCTTGTAAGAGGGCAGCAAAGGGGTTTGCTCAGGAACACAGAGAATCAGCAACAGCCTTCTCAGTGTCTTGGCAGCCACGGACAGCAAGCTCCTGAGATTTGTGCTATCACTCTGTTCCGGTACATCAGCGGTGCTTTATATTCGCTCTTCCATTATGGTGGAGTCTTGCACACCACAATGAGGTGATTAACCCTTACACCTCAATTCCTCTAAAAAGAATGGGATGGGAGACAAAAAAAAAAAAAAAAAAAAAAAGACCACACTAGGAGCACTTGTAACTCAGAAAAAGATGGTAACTAGTTTTTAGGTTAGGTTAGGTCAGGACACCTTCCCCAGTCCTGCACCCTCCCTGATAACCCCCGCCTTGCAGTGGCTAAGGGTTCCCATCTCATGATAGCTGTAATCCCAGTGCTAGAAGAGGAGGTCCCCACTAGTCCCTGCCCCCTCCCCAGTGCTGGCTCTGGTGGTCAGGCAGCCAAGTGGTGAATCAAATCTGGGAACTGGTCTGGCTGAGAGCTGACTGCTTTTGATTTTGTTGTGTTAGTTTCTGGCCAGATCAGTTTCCCAAGAGAGCTCACCATGCACCTGTATGATCGCATGGGGCTAGCAGGAAAGGTTAATGGGATGGAAAGGAAGGGTGAAATATCTCCTTGGGCACCAGTTTAGCCTTACATTGAATTCAGCTGATTGTGGAACTACAGCTTGGAGATGTAAAATAAGTAAAAAGAAATCAAACTAGTTGCAACTTACCTGTTCATTCCTGAAAGCATGAAGAAGAGCACTGGCATCTTCAACAGTAAGGGGGAATGAGAGTCGTGGTCCATAATAGGAGTCTGGAACATCAATCTTCTTTTCAAATTCTGTTAAACATAAGCCTTCATCCACCACCTGAGAAACACTAGGGCTGGTGAATATGTGAGAAACTGGAACAAGAGGGAAGAAAAAAAACAACGTAGAAACTCCACCAGTCCCCCATAGGGTCGTAGCAGGTTGAATGTTACTGATGCTTTACTTGCTGCGCTATTACAGTGGCTGACTCCTGCCTTGCATAGTGGAAGAGCTCCAGGTCTCCCCAGATTGTTTCACAGTACTAAAAACAAAGCAAGCCCAAAACCCAAGCAAAAAACAACCAACGAACCAAAAAAATAGGCAAAAAAATGTCTGTCCTAACAGCCAGTAGCTGTGGCCAGGATGCAAAACATTTTACACTGAAGTTGTTGAGCGATCTGCTGTCATAGGTAATGAGAAACATAACCTGTTACAGGCTTTCTTCTTCTCTTTCCTCCACAAAGCAAGGAGACTCAAAAGTCATGGGTGATCATTCAATGACCATCATCTGTTTAGAGTCCAATATTACATTTCTAATACACTTTTCTATGTAAAATTTTTAGGCTAAATACCGGCAGGTCAGTGATATTTAAAAAGTCATGAACAAAATCCTATTTCTTCACAGTGGATTGCAAAGCACTCCCTTCTGATACAACTAGGAGATGAGGCCAGCTTTTGGTTGGCTGCCATAAAAACGCTGGATGAAATAAAGTAAACAAAAACATAGTGGTAAATTAGAGCATAGCTTCTAATTTTCCTGGAACATGGAGAAAGCAGGAACATTGCTAATTGCTTCAATCCAGTATTTTCTTGACATGTCCTTGAAATGCAACTGACTGAACAATAGGTTTCAGTGTTTTTTTCCTTGCAGATTGTCTTTATCATCTGTTATTTTAAAAAGGAGAGCCAGACTCTAGATGACAGTGTTCTGGCAGCTGCTGTTGCAGAGTTGCTCTTGCAAGATGATTGTTAGAAACACTTTTTGCTGGGCTACAGGTAAGTTTTCTGCAACCTTGTTTAGATGCAACTGGAAATAAAAATGTATTATTTATTGCTGGAGGAATACCTGTGGCTGTGAGTCAAAACTCACAGCAGCCAAAACCAGCATGTGGCCTCATAAATTATGAGGTTCATAAAGGCCAACTTGTCTTGTAACTGGATAAAATCTGTACTAAAGAAATACAGAGATAAAAAGACACTTTTTATCAGCTCTGAATTTAAAAAAAAAAAAATTCTGTCAGCTCTTCTGCTGTAAGGCTGATGAGCACATTCAGTGTACAGCCATGTAAATGGATTAAGGCATCAAGTAACAGCAAAGTGCTCAGGGTTCACCTTTTCCACCAAGTGCGGTCTGATTTGCAGCCTTCCACCACAGTTGCAGCTTTGTCTGGCCGGATGCCAGACTTCACATCACCCATGGCCTGAAACTGCTGGTTCCCACATACTGATCAGCCAAGCCCTTCCGCACCCAATCTCATCCCGGCTCTAGCAGCAGGTCTCTGGACAGCATCTACCTCCGTGCCCTACCTCTCAAGAAGTGGATGGCTGCTGACCACAGAGCCAGTTCCTCAGAGCACCCAAATTCCTCATTGCTTGCCTCTTCTGGCTCTCCTCATCTGACAACTCCTTCAGAGTCAGCGATGTCCTCAGCATTTCAAGCCAGGTAGACACCTGCCCATGCCTGTTCCTACTCTGACCCTTCTTTCCTGCACGCAGCAGGCTACTCATACCTTTATCCCTGAACATGAACCTGCCTTCCTCACAGCCTCGCTTCCTTTTTGGCACATGCCCAGGCTGAGAAACCCCATCTCCTTCCCTGTAGGGCATATCTCTGCAAAATACACCCCATTTTCCACTTCTGGATGAGTTGCCAAAGCCAGTCATGGTAATTAGTCTTAGAGTGCTCTTAAGTCTCCTCAGGCAGTCTTTCAGCTGGATTTTAAGGCTTCTTCCTGCAGAGGATGACTGTCTTGTCTCAGAGCCCAGCCAGTAACGGATACCCTAATGCAGCCTGGGGATTAGCGTGCTGGCCAACGGATGCTGGTACTACCCCAGCTCACCACAAGCCTCATGCAGGACTAATTCTGAAGGAATCTTCTAGTTGAAGCCGTCAAGGCTCTTTCAGTCCATATTGGAAGACAGGGACAAAAACTCTTGGCGTGCCTAGTTCAGGTACATGTCTTAAGACAGAATGAAATACCCTCTGCATCTCTCCACTGACTACAGGGAGCACAGGGAACGACCCGCTTTGTACTCTGACACCAGAGGTGTAGCCCAAGCTCAGTGAGTTGAGCCTTTGCTATTTAGCAGACCCCATACAACTACCCTACAGGACAATAGCCATACTCCATGTTAAGCACAAAAGCCCAGAGCTATGTGGAGTGAGTTTGGCCACAGAAAGTTCAGAGACCTGGTTCTCCTGACAAGACCACCTCGCCATGGGAGTTGCTCAAGGCAAGTCAAAGATGCCACTGCCAAGGATGTACTTGCTATCGGGGTAACAGGGAATCGGCTACTTCTATGGCTCTGAAATAAGCTCTCTGTTCTGCCAACATTTGTGCACCTTCAGACTAACTATTGGGGTACCTGAGAGCACCTCTGACTCCTGAGGAGCTCTCTTACATCTGCCAGATACTGATCCCCAGCCATCAGGTCAAAGCCAGATGGACTTCGAGCCCACTAAGAGGATGAAGATTTCTGTAATGCTCCAAACATTTATTTCTTCACTCTGTTCCTGGCCCTGTAAGCTGCAAGTAGCTGTGACTTATTCCCCACTGCAAGGATCAGACTATACAAAAAGCCTTGAAAGGGTGTTAATGCTCTAAGGGAGGCATCATGGGGAGTGAAACTGCACTTTTTTTGGTTCCTTTTTAAAGGAAGCCTCCAGGAGGTGTGGCTCCTGCCCTGGTGACCTTGAGACCTTGAAAGGCACAGCCAGGGGTGCCTTGGACTCCTAGTCCCGCCACTTTGCCCAGGATGTATCTGCAGCCTTCTCACCCTCAATGCGCCCACAAAAGAGTTAGTAAATGGTCACCTTTTGCTGGAAAAGCCATTTCCAGCTTTCTCTGACCAGAGAGAAAGGCTGAATAGGTATGCAGATTTTTTCGGGGAGGGAGGGATAAAAGTGTAAGGTGGAAAAGGTTTTAATTCTTACTTCCCACAAACCCTTGGAAAACAGCCTTTAATCAGAAGCAGAACAAGACACACAGCTGTATAATATCCCAATCACAACTTAAACTGTGCAGACATCTTAAGCAGGATGAGAGGATGAAAAAAGCTTCAGGGCACAACAGATAAACAATCACATCAAAAGCATGTGTTAATGAGATGGTGGCTGCTTTCTTTCTTTGAAAAACATATTCTGAAAAAGCAGATTAAAAGGAGGAAAGTGACAAGATGAATAGTGGAGACTGAGTGGTTTATAACATAAGGAAAAACACATCACAAAATCTTCAGGTAGCTTTCTCATCACATACTGAGAAGATCAGGGAACCTATTATCTGGTAAGAATATTATATACTGTCTTCTTGGAGAGGGCTTTTGAACCATATGCTATCACTCTAATTTAAGTGAGCACACACTGATGAAAAAAAAGCCAGAGAATCGTGGGTTTTAGAAAATGCTTGGGAATAGCAAAGCCAATTTGAAGCCTTTCTGCTTGTTATGCTTACACTCACGGTGGCTCACATCTTAAGACCGTGATTCAGCAGAAGTGGAAGCAGTTCATTAAGAATCACCCTATTCAGCACTGATTTTGCTTAAATCAGTGGGGCTAGCATGGGTGCTGCAAAGGTTACTTAGAGCTTGAAGTAAAGAAGGCACACAGCTAGTCGTTGGACAATCATAACCTCAAACCACGTAACACAAATTTGAGATGCATTTGTCAAAAAAAACCCTAAGTCAGCTCCTTTGCATAGGTGGAAATCTTTCTGTTCCATTTTGGGTTCTGGTATCTGTAGCATGGGGTGTTAGAAAGGGGGAAATTACAAACCAAGACAAAAATAAAACCTTTGAAGCAGTTACCAAGTCTTAGCAACTTCAGCCCCAACAGACAAAAGTTTTAAGCAAGCAAGACAAAGGGGAGCTTTACCATAAACCATACACTTTACCATGTATTTCAGACTTAACCATGTCCGCAACCCCAAATATCTGCAAGACCAAGAAACAGGTCACCCACGTAGTGGTGACAAGTGGCAGCCCACAGTACCCTCCGTTCTTCCATGTGCACAGGTGGGGCCTGGATGTCCACCTGCCCATGGACAGCCTATGCCTGTAGCAGTGTGCTCTGTACCAGCCATATCCTGGGCCCTAGCAAGTCACCTGAGGCACCTCTCCTTTATTCCTTCTGTCAACAGACACAGTTAATAAAGATGGATAAATCATATCTACAATGAGCAGCTGTAAAATTCCCTTTTAATATTATAATGAAAATAGAGATTAACACTATTTTTTCATATCTCATGCCTACCAGTACTTTTTTTTACCCACTCAGGTGGAAAAGCTCAACTGAGGTGCGCTATCACCACATAGAAGTAGTAAATTAGGTGAGCAGTGTCTGATTTTCTTCAAGTCTGCCAATTCCTTCCCAGGAAGTTAAATGACTAAAGAAGATCTTTTGCAGAATACAGTGGTAATGGAAAAAATCAAAGAAAGAACTATGGTATCAAGTGTCTTGGCTTTGGAGCAAGGCTCAAACGTAATTTCTTTTTCTGCAGAGCACAGAGAGCATTAGGCACTCTAAAGTATTTAAGAGAGAAAAATTGCCATTTCTAATGGTTGTCATTAGAACACTGAACCACTTATGGTTTTGATGGTGGTTTTATCCTGCTATCAGAATGTCTTGTGCAAGTTTTAATTGGAATAACCCATGGCTGGACCAGATGAAAGAGAAAGGACATTCTCTTGTAATTCAATAAGAAGGGGACAGACTCTTTTTCAACTTCACTGGGATTAGATCTGTTCTCAATTTGTTCAGTGAAGTCATGTTTGTTCTCTGGACTTAGAAATCACTTTCAGTCTGTCCTTCTGTTGAGCTTGACCTCAAAAATAAGTTTTGTCCAAGGATCCCAAAATACTCCAAAAATTAAAGGCTATTCTTTGAATAACTGAGCTTTAATTGAGATGGTTTCTAACAATTTATGTCCAGCAATTTAAATTTCTTTCATTTTTAATCATTCACATACTGAGATATGCTTTGCGGTGAAAACTAGAACAAAGCAAATTAAGAAGTGGTCCAGAATGCTTCAGGGGAAAAAAAAAAAAAAAGTAAAAGAAGAGGAGCAACCTCTTTGATTACATCTGCCCTAATCCAACTAGACACAGTCTTTCTGGATAATCACATCTCATAGTTTAAGAAAACATGCATAGAAATCTGTGAAAACCGGAGCCAGTAAGACTGCCATGAGAAGAGCTTAAGGGCAGTAACATATAAGAAAGCACTCTGAGCACCTCTGAGTATTCTCATAAGGTCAACAGGTATCTGTTCTGTCCTACATCTTGACTCACTGAGTAGATATTGAGCAGAGTCAACACTTACGGGATAAAATTCTTATTACAGTATTTGGGAAATCAAACCTCAGCCCCAGCGGGTCCCATAGGCTGTAAACATCACAGTGAAAATTAACTTTCCTCAAATCAGGTTTTTCAAATGAAATCTCCATATTTGATTTTTATCCTTACCTGAATCGGGATGAGTACAGTGCTCCAGCATGAATGTAAAAAAGTCGGATAGCTGAGTAAGGAAAAGAAAAGAACAAACACACGCTCATCAGTTTAGGGAATCCAAAAAGCATTAACATTCTCTTTCCTTACTCAATTACTAGCAATTTCCCACCTAGGGGGATCTAAGACACTACTGTATGTTCCCATAGCATCAGCCTGCAATGATGACACAACTTGTGTCCTACTACAAAACGGGCTTACTCCTTTCCCTCTTTGCTGCGAATTATCGGATTGACACTATACGAATACATTAAAAGTTCCAGGGCTGTATGAATGCTGCTGACATTTTTGGGTGTAATTCATCTTGCCCATCATCCAGACTATTTGCCTAGACTTCCTTTGTAGTCAACAGAAAGATACATCTACAATGCACTGAAATGACTTTAGACACTGATGCTAGGATGAACACAAAGTCCTACAAGTTCCCAATTCCCGTTATTGACCCTAAAGGAAGCCTGGGCTGACACGCTGAGACACTGATAGCTCTGTTGCACATATCTTGCCTCACAGACACGGTTAAGATCACCCATAGAGGGGTTACCTGCAGTCCCTGGCTAACAGAGCTGTTCTGCATGAGCCTCTAACCCAGATATGGTTGGACAGGCAGAATGGTATCCTGATGCTTACATAGTTATACACACACACATATATGTATATCTATACACGCAACTTCATTAGTTCATGTGTGAGGCAGGGAAGTGGTTTTACTATAGAGGACTCAGCTTTGTAGGGAGAAATAATCACATACCCATTTTGTTTGTGCAGCTTCAGTCCCCTGAGGATAACATAACTGCTTGTACAGGAAGAATTGAAGATTACAAACCTGTAGTTGATCTTGCTCATCAGCGTATTCGATTGACTGAAAAATACTCAGAGAATAGCGGCGCCTCATCTCTAGCCGGGCCATTGTAAAGCGATACCAGTTCTGGATGAGGATAGCAGCTCTAATGACTGTCAAAACAGAAAGCAATGGAGTACACATGGATGCAGTGGAATCTACAACAAAACCACACATGCTACCTTTGCAGAATTTTGCGGACAGATGACAAATTCAGCCCATTGTGCACAGCCCACATTAAGATGAAACTCCATAAAAGTGAGACTGAAAAACTGTTTTCTGATAATGAACATGTGATACATTTACTGTTTCTGTCTTCAGGGACAGATCCCAAACTAGCTGACTTGCTCGGGCCTATATTGTTAGAAACCTTCCCCATTTCATTGTCCTGAAAACAGTACCCGGTCAGTAAGAGTAAGAAGTCTGCCATGTTCAGCTGATGGGCAGCATGTGGGTTTTGGGAAGGTAAGAAAAGGAAGAAGACCAGTTTGGCCTAAGAGCAAAATATATTTCTTTACCAAGCTGCTGTAAAAACCTTCAGACTTTGCAAACTGTAACATGAGCATTGTGTAATGACAGAGTTTGTAACAGCCTCTAACAGAAAGTTTTTGCCTGCATAGCTGTATCAGCAAGCCAGCAAAATGCAAACCTTAGGATAAAATGTTAACAAATGGTATCGAAGGGGAGAATATGTTGCTGTGCTGGTTTTGGCTGGGATAGAGCTAATTTTCTTCATGGTAGCTGGTATGGAGCTGTGTTTTGGATTTGTGCTGGAAACAGTGCTGGTAACACAGGGATGTTTTTCTTACTGCTCAGCAGGGCTTGCACAGAGTCAAGGCTTTACTGCTTCTCACACCACTCACCAGTGAGGATGCTGGGGGTGCACAAGGAGTTGGGAGGGGACACAGCTGGGACAGTGACCCCAACTGATCAAAAGGATATCCCATGTCATGTGATGTCATGCTCAACATATAAAGGTGGGGGAAGAAGGAGGAAGGGGGGGATGTTTGGAGTGATAGCATTTGTCTTCCCAAGTAACTGTCATGCACGACGGAGCCCTGCTTTCCTGGAGATGGCTGAACACTTGCCAGCCGATGGGGAGCGGTGAATGAATTCCTTGTTTTGCTTTGCTTGTGTGCGCAGCTTTTGCTTTACTTATTAAACTGTCTTTATCTAACCCACGAGTTTTCTCACTTTTACCCTTCCGGTTCTCTCCCCCATCCCACTGAGGGGGAGTGAGCGAGCAGCTGTGCAGGGCCGAGCTGTTGGCTGGGGTTAAACCACAACCATGGTTTAGACATGTCAAAAGGCATGCAGGCGTACCATTGGCTAGCTCAGTGAACAAAGGAACACTCACCCCAAGAATTCAATGAGACATGTCAGAAGATCATTTTGGACTATGTGCTGAATACACATCCCGCTCAGCACTTTAAGAAGCTGTGTCTACTATTGCCTCAGTCTGGAAAACTGCTGGAAACTCCACTGAAGGACAATCACCATGACTACAGCCTAGAGTGAAGGGCCTGCTGCCTACAGGCCCAGTTACACTACAAACAGATCACATTCCCTTAGCTGCTCAGATAAAAGTTTATCAAGCAGAACAACACCTGGTGACACAAAGAGCTCCTGGGGTGGGCACTGTCGTGTGAGAAGCTCTGCACACACATGTCAAGCAGTTGGTGCTGCGTGAAGAGTGGCCACCAGTGAGAGCTGTGCGGGAGGACAGGAGCTCCAGGAGCCGATGCCCACTTAATCCCTCCCCACTGTGCTGACAGTCCTCCCTGCTACTCTAAGGAGCTGGGGCATGAAACGTGGGTGGCAGTAGCACTGCCAGCAGGAAGACAAGATGAAAGGCGGGCGGGTGTGCCCTCAGCATTACAGGTGATCACCGCAGCTCTGATAGACCTGGAGGAAGGAGTGAAAGCAGAAGGCTGGAGGGGCTGTGCTCAGCAGAAATAACCATGAGCTTGGGAGAGAAGAAACAGATGAGCTCAGTGTTAACTTCTCCTGTTTCACAGAGCTGAATCCCTAGTGCTTCAAGGGTGCTTATCCAGTAAGATCAACTAACTTTGAGAAAAGCATTCCTCAGTCACTTGTTAACTGCTTTTTTAAGATCAGCTAGAGAGGAATAAATGCACGTTTCAGATACTTAGGGCATATGTAAGCATGGATTTATCATCCAGAGGAGGACAACATTCACTATACAAAATCGGAATAAAATGCAGCTAGTGCCATGAAGATCGAGCAGCTGAAATAACGGCAAATTCAAATCTAGAAATTTGCTTAAATTATGGTCAGAAGAGGACTCTGTATTAACATAGGTAGCCCTACAGAGCACTAACAGGAGCAGTCAAGAGGCATTACATGCATCACCAGTGAGAGGAAGACAGAGCACAGGGGTATTGGAACCTACACCTGTCCCAGTGCAACCACATCGCCAATGCCATATTCTTGCCTGGCCACAACAACAGAAAAAGAGTAAGGTAGGAGGCTGCTCTCAAGAGGTGTCACATTTGCTCACCTAAAGGTGAACATAATTATTTCTTGACTGGTTCCTTACCTCTTTTCCCCCACATCTTTTTCCCCCGTACTCTCAACAGGATACCAGTAAATAAGTAGACAGGGCCAGAAATGTCGAGCCTTTGCTTCCAGTCCTGCAGCTAACACCTTACTTCAAGGAGTTTCCTAAGGAACTCAACCCTGAATAGCTCAGCATAGGACACAGAAAAAGGTCTTTACACTTCTGATCTTGGGGGAACAAGTCAAAGCAGCTGCAGGGCAACTCTATCAAAGGTACAAGGACCAAAGGCATACACTGATCTTAGCTCCTGAGCTCTAGTTCTTGGGAGTGTCATTTCTGAGCAGATGAACAGATGATCAGGAGAAGCACAGAAACAAAACATTCTCCTGAATTCCAGAGTTTGACACTGTCACCACTGCACAGCACTGCAAATTCAAGAAAAAGAAAAAGAGAGGAAACTAAAATCAACACTAATGTCTTAAAACAAATATGCTTCTATTTTATTACAGTCACCAAAATGAACAGCTGATACTGAAAAATAAAACAGGAAATAACAACAAACAATTCATACTAATGCCTTTTCTCCCTGCAAAACAGCAAAGAAAAGCTCTGTAGTAGAGGGATAATAGTTTATGCTAGTCAATTATTGTAGCTGGATACAAATACCAGGAATTTTAAGACTAGTATTAGTGGCACCCCTGAGTGAGAATAATTTTCTTCTTAAACTGACAGGTATGCAGGTAAAGAAAAGTGATTCTATTAATAAATGTATTAATAAAAAAGGAAGCTTTTTTATAAAAATGCTTACAGGTGCTATAACAGCACCGTTTTTGCTTATTTTACCATTAATAAGTATACAGTATAAAGTGGTAAAGTTTTCTAGTCCAGATAAGGCCAAAATCAGTAAAGACTCCCATCCTACAGATACCGCCTCCATCCTAGAAAAATCCCCTGCCTGAAGGAATTGTAATCCTTATATGACTAAGAGCATCCTTCATACCTTCCATAAGTTCTGAGATCTTTCTCATTTTCTGTCCTTTCTGAATTTCACCACCACCACAGACCTGAAAGCCTGACACATCACAGCAAGGCTGCCATCAGCTTTTTTGTTTAGAAGAGTACCTAAGGGGCAAAGCACAATCACCAGCACAGAAGCTGATTTGCAGCATCAGAAACATTAAACATCCCATTAAAGCCCCCCTGTGTTGCTTAATGGTCCTGAGCACTTAACATGGCTCAGTTCCACTGGTATCACATAAGACAGATATGTATCAACGACTACGGTTAATGTTGCAAATCTAACAGAATTTGTGGATTTTTTTTTTTTTTTTTTTAATTGTACTTATTACAGCGCTGTTATTCTCAGGACTGAATCAGAACATGATTTTCACGCTAGGCTAAACTGCATCTGTAAAAGAAATTGTTATCAGTTGCAGAAGGTGTCTACACCAGCAAGTACCTGCTAAATTCATGTTATTAATGCATTAGCAGGATGTACAGCCTCAGGCTGCAGATAGAATGACGGTTCAGGATCATTTGACTACTGCTGAAGTGCAGAAAGAATACCACCCAGCAACTGGAGAGGACAAAATGTTGTCAAACAAGCACGCAAGATCATAAGCCAGCTTTGGGGTAGTGAAGCCTGGCTTCACACCAATGTGTATTGATGTCTGTAGGCTGAGAAAGAGTACAGTTCCTCATGCCTGCTCCAAGCTGTTGCACCCTCAGAAATATTCCCCACTAACTTGTCTCTGGGCCCTCTCACGGCACATATATGCATAGCACGCAAAAAGAGGAAGGACCATCCTTCCCAAAGAGGAAGGCCCGCTTCCCAGTTACAGGTAGGTCTGGGACTCCAGAGGTTTCCATTCTACTTCCACTGCTGTGATACAGCACTGATGCTGCTGTGTCAGCCAAGCAGTGTACACAAAGCTGAGGGCTACCCTTAAACCAGTCAGCTTGGATCCCTGTAGCCATGACTCCTGCTTCTTAGTCAGCAGTTTCCTGTGACTTGTCTCCTGGCTTGGTAGCCAAAAAGAGCCTTCCTTTTCAACCCTGGTTGTTCAGCATAATAATCTCCTAAGAGTGTGCACAGTGCCACGTAACACGGCTCCTGGCAGACCTGTGAATTGTGTTTTAGTGACAAACCCTGAAAGAGAACACAAAGGGTCTGAACAAAGGTCTGAGCCAATTGTGGAACCCACCTGCCTGTGCAAAGCCCGGTGTGCTCATACCAGGGTGTGGTATGATTAAAAGCAGGGGGATGATGCATTAGTCTTTTAATTGAACATTGCACGAGGTACCGTGGAGACTTTCAACAGACAGCCTCAGTGACTGTCAGAGAGAATTTCCGGCCAGGCACTTGGTACAGCACAAAATTGATTCTGAGAGTCATCGTAATAGCTTTATTACACTTGTTGCGTAATCAGGCTCACCCAGCAGCAGGAAAATTGGGGCAGTTTGCCCAGGAATCCTGTGTTGTGAATACCTTACCCCATACGCTTTGCTAGTGACAGAGCAAGCACAGACACATCTGAAATGTACCTTCTGTCCCAGATGCATGAATCTTTTCCAACCCTTTTTGTACTTGTTAGAGGTGGTCTACAGTTGCCTTCTGACCTCAGCCAGCATCTAAAAGCTATGCACTCTTTTAAAAAGAAGGTAATTTGAAAATAATTTTCTCTGAACAAGTATTTTGACTGGGGGGAAATGTTACCTTGCAATCCTCTTCTGGTGTTACAGAGAGAACAACCACTGACCTGAAGACAAAGGCAGCACTCACCTTTCTCTGACCTTCTGTCAGCTACAGAACTGCTGCACCCCATGGTTCCAATGACGCTGCCCGTCAGTTTTAATTGCTGTTGATACGAAGCATATTTCTCTCAGCTGTTAATGTTACACACATTTCCTGTGTTGTTCCTTCAGCGATGAGGATTATACCCTTCTGGGCTCCTGGGCTCTTCCTAGCATCCTAACATGGAGACGACTGGGAAAGAGGGAGAGGGGAAAAAAAAAGTGTTTGACAACACAGAATCCAAAGTACCTACAGCTCATAAGAAATTACCAAACAGCACATCCTACACAAACTGGACCTGATGAACCATACTAGGTTTCTTTTTTCACATCTGATTACTATCAGCTTACATTCAAGACAGATGAACTCTGTAATTAATACAGTTTACTCCTTACATGTTAGTTGAAAGTTAATGTGCATCAGTGATTTCTCACTCTGAAGCACAGCTATTTAAAGCCTCACTACTAGGGACAAGGGGCTACAGAGGCATGTTAACTCTTCATTCTTGTGATCTGAAAATTGTAACTGCAGAATTTTAAAGACTTTAAATGACATTGGATACTACTGCTAAAAAAACCCAAACGTCAGCCCTCCTAACACTCTATCGATTTGAAAAGGTGCCCTGCCACCCCATTTATCGCTTTATCCCTCGGTGTCACCACCACCAAATTTACAAGGAAAGACAGTGCCATGGCAAATTGCTTCATTATCAGATTTCATTTAAATAAAACATCCAATTTTCTGTTGCATTTCTACTGAAGCATTCTAAATAAAAGATTTGGTTTCATTAAATAAATGAACAAAGTACATTTTGCAGTGTGGCCTTTTGGGTTTTTCTCCTGGCACTTGCTCATTCACTAATGCAATACACTTCCTAATCAACAAGTTTGTATGACTACAATTCCCCTGAGATACAAAATGGGTTCATTTCTAAGTAACAAGAAAGTCACTGATGCTCTTAGAGAAACTGAAGTGTTTTAGCTAAAGATTTATTGTATGATCACACTGGCCCCTCTCTCTCTCTGTCTCCAGGGATACATGTTTCTTTCTAGCACGTCTGATGTCTAAATTATTGCATTTGTTTTGTTTCATTGAGATTCCTTTTCTTTTAATTTGAGCTTTAAAACAAAGAAGAAATTCATCATCATAAAATGAACACTTATCTACTATTCTTTTCCTTTGGCTTTACTAGCAGAAGTAAAAATAACAGGAGGATGAGAGAGAGAAAAACATAAATGCATAACTAGCCTATTTTCAATTTCAGTAGTTAGAATATATTTATTGTCGTGGGACTATTTACCATTTTTATATATTCATGTTATATTATATTATGTCACGTCACGTCAGGTCACATCATGTTATATTAATATTGCACAACTCTTTATAGTTGTGGGGCTATTTTTCAGGCTCCCACAACCCTAGGGTATCCTACACTTGAGCTGGGTCTGCCACCTTCTGTGTTGGTATTTATTTCAGGAAAGAAGGATTTTAGGGGTTTTTCCCCACAATGGACTGCTTTTCTTCCCTCTGAAGGAGCTATCATGAAATCCAGAAAGTGCTGTTACATTAATTTTGAGCCAATCAATGGCTCCGACAGCATCGAATACAACACTGATATTGTTAATAGCTCGAACTTGTTTTATCTCCAAACAATTGTTGTTCTCCTGAGTACCATCTCCTCACTTGCCCTTTTAGGAGAATCTCTAGTCTTCATTAGTCCTTCTCAACCCACCAGCCACAACTTGAATTGTGAACTGAAGACTAGGACAAAAAGCAAATAGAGCTTACAAGCTAAGTCCTATTGCAGTGAGTCTATCTTCATTAAAGGACAGGTCAGCGTGTGCCCAGCAACTGGGCAACGGGAGCCCCAAACAGAACCATCACGCCTCTCAGGACTCACCCAAGCCACAGCAAACAACAGGCTGACCCAAGAAACGGGGATCTGAATCGCTATAGCACCCTACTTTCAATGACTTAGAAAATTTCTCCCAGTCATCCTCTCTCTTCCTTCCACCCAACTCACGGACTTCTAGCACCATCTCGAGCAAAGAAATAAAAAAAGATAGAGACATAGGGATGGAACTCTTATGGTAACAGCAGTAAATGAAGCCTGAAACATACATGCATATCTTGGAAGAAAGCTTGTACAAATATATCCTAACATTAAACCTCTTAAAAAGGCCAATCTCGCCATCAGAGAGCTAGTCCAGGGAAATAATCATCACATTCATTCCCAAATAGCTGCATCCTAAAATGGACATAGCGCACATTCAAACTACTATCCTATTTCCTGATGCCAACCTGCATGTCCAGACTCAGACCAGCCACACCTATTGAAGACTCCAGCAAGCGGGGTCTCCACCCAGGCCCAGCAAGTTCACTTTCTGCCCTTCAAGAATCATGAACAAGGGGAACAAGCCACTGTGGAGCCAGTGCCTCCCCCAGGCCAGGGCTCTTCATTGCTCCTGACTGAGCCACTCCAAAGGAAGAAATCCCTCCCCTCACACTCCCCACGTATCTTAGTTCCAGCCAACTTCAGCTCTGTGCCAAACTCTGCCTTCTTGGGCAAAGGTGTAGAAAAATACCAAGCAAAAGCCATGGAGGCCTTCCACAGGGAAGAAGGTTGAAAAGCAAGCACTTAAACATTGGAGCCATTTCTGTGAGCTATTTACTATGCAGTGTAGCAATGTCTGGTGAAGAATCATCTGCCATTACAAAATTCCCCCAAATGATGACTGATGAAATGGAAAGCTGGGCTTTTGCCAAGGTATCGAAAAAGGCTTCAGAGATACAAGGTAGCTGGATGAGAATTTGGAGCATAATGCTGTGTTAGCATTCTGGGTACTGCACCACTGATTTACCCTTAAGAGAGAATCTGTCATGTTCACTAAAAAGCAGGCAGCAATTCAATTTCTACAAGCGAGCGATCTGTCCCATTTTCAGATGGAATTCCAAGAAATTGCTACATTTCTCTCAGTTCAGCAAAAAGGCAATTTTGTGATGGACAGGCACTGAATACACAGCCCATCCACTGAAGCAAAATAAAATGCCATTCCAACCATGCCAACAGACATGCACCAAGCTAAGCCGGAGTGGCACATCCTGTTCTTTTTCTGGATAGGAGTCACTGAAGGTTACACTGCAGCAAGTGCTCAGAAATTTGGGGTTCAGCACCTGAGCTGTCGAGAGCCTGATTTACAGAGATTATGAATCAGCACCATTTGATCCGGATGTAATAGGTGCTGCCTAAAATCAATCATGCCTCCCATTTGTCAGTCACGTAAAGACCAGGCTGCCTCAAGAATAACGGAAATCTTGTAAAGATTTATAGCTGACTTTAATGAAATCAGGCTGCAGGTCCTTCAGGCAGGGAGCCATCCTTCCAAGCATACCTTATCTTTTAAAATTAGATGAGCTGTTCTACTGGCAGACAAGTGTAAGCTAGGTCAAGCCTGAGGATACAGAAGCCACACGAATAAGAGCGACTAGGCTTTAACTTCTTATTCTTGCTTCGTTCCTTTTGTTTCTTACCTTTGATAAACAAAGACTGAAAGGCTCCTTCCTTTATTTTTGCTGGGATGGGATTTCCACAATTATGCTACTTCCTCTGTAAGTTGTTTCAACAGCTACCTCTAGCACCATGCCTCCTTTCCCTACTCACCCCTGTCTCAACCATTTTTGGGAATGGGTAGTTATGATTTCCTCCCATAACATGTCTTAGAAGGTACATGTGGTTGGAGAGGTGGTGAGATAGTGACAGTTTTCTCCCTAAAGATCAGATGGATGGATGGGTAGATGCTTCCAATGACAGAGGCTTTCCTTTGATGCCTTGCTATCAACTTTTTTAAATCTTCTGTGACTCGCAGACTTCCTTTAGAGTTGTTTTTCTTTGGAAATGAAGACTCAGAGAACTGAGAGAGGTTATAACATGGGCTTGTGATGGATTTGCTTCTGTGCATTGCTGAGGGAATGAAGCAGAAAAGAGAAAAATGCCCTAAAGAAGAGAACCCAGACATTAAATCACAATGCCGCCCAGGTTAGCACCTGCAGAGGGACAACTCTTCAAAACTGTCTTGCTGCCAGAGTTGGGATTGTCAAGGATGGGAACCTAGAGATGAATTAAAGATTTCATTAGCTGAAAGACCCACCCTGCAGAAAGTGGGATGAAGCAGCCACAGTCAACTAACAAAGTGAAAGAGAACCTGGCTATGGCCCAAGAGCTGTAATTTTTACACCAATGCAGAATTCGGTCTGCCAAGGGGCTGATAGGAGAACATCAAACATAGGCAAAGCAGTATGTGTTCAGGTCTCTGTTATTTTATATCCATGGGACAAACTGACATTTCTATTAAGTGACTTTCAGTGATTATACATATGTGAAAGAGAGAAATGAGAAAGCCTTTTTGTTTACAGACAACTTCTTCAGCCTGCTCAGAGAAGCAAGGCTAAGCTCAATATAGAACTGATGGAATCATTTCTAGCAACAGCCGTGTTGATAGATCGCAGTGTTTGGGCCAGGAATCAATAGAGAATGGATGTAGTAAGATACCGGAAAGCCAGCAAAGCCTGAAAGAGAGCAGGATGAAGACAGACTGGCTCATTAAGGTGGACTCATATTCCTGAGTCCAAAAATGCACTGCAAAAATAAATGAAAGCAAGAGCTGCAAAGGTGTGAACATACAGAGATTGTTCAAGCAATTGTTGGGTTCAGGAACGGCATGCAAATCCAAAGAGAATCTGTAGAAAAGTGATGGGGGAATGCCAGTTCATGTAATTTACAATCAATAAAGGCTACATTTACACAAAACATTTGCACTTCTTTGTTCAGAAAATAAACAAACAAAGCAAGCAGCCTCATTTTTTTGTGCAGCAAGACTTTGAGGAGCATGTTTTTTAAAAAAGAGTAGCAAATACAGGTGCACAAATGGGATGCAGATCACCCTGAAGTATAAGCAAAGCCATCGTATCACTTTCCAGAAACATTAAACGCCTCTACGGGGAGATCCTTTTAGGAAGCAAGGAGAAAACTAG